CTACTGGGTACGGGCGGCTCTTTCCTACCAACTTCTCTGCCTGTTCAGCAAATATAATGGCCTTAATCTTTTCACCAATTAGGCCTTCTAACTGCGATGCAGTTATAGGTTCAGAGGTGGTCACCATATTTTTTGGAGTATGCTGGCGGATTGGATCATCAATCTCTTCGCCACCTTCAGGTACACCTTTCACTCCTGAAACTTGAGGCGCTTGGAGATTTTGAGAATTAGTAGCTTGATCGACATGCTGAGCCGGTGTAGGACCCACAGAAGTGGTCTTCTGTATCATCTCCATCATAGCCATCATCTGAGTCATCATATCAGTTATTTCATCATTTATCTGAGAGATTTCTCTATCTTTCTTTCTCCTATGTCGCCTCATCTGATTTCTCACTTCGGCAAGCGTGATGTCTTCACCAGCGAAGGGATTTTTTCCAACTTCTTCCTCTTCTTCTCTTTCTTCTGAAGAGCGTGCGACGTGGTTCGGCAGGGAGCATGTAAGATTTGAGATTTCTTTTTTTTTTTTGCTTTGATGGCTATGTGAGAGGGTCAACATTATTTATTTAAATCATACTTATCATGTTGAAGTGAAGAAATGTGCTCTTATAAATGCTTTTTTTTTTTATCAAAATTTTTCTTTTAAAAAACCTTCTACACAACATAGTAAAACTAGGAAAGCAACATGAAAAAAAAAAGGAAAGCAACATGAGATTAGCAGTTCGCTAGATGTAGGAAATAGTTGAAGAAAATAACGTAAAAAAAACCCTATTGCAATTAATTCAGCCAACCATTTGGAATTAACATAACTACTGGTTTAGATTTGTGATCTTTCCTAAATGTATCCTTAAAATGATTTCAAGCCTAGTACATAACTTCTTAGATCATAATATGAATAAACTTTACACTATATCTTAGAATACGAGCACCAAGCCTAAAGGAAAAATAAAAAGTTTCGGAATGTATCTGCTAACATTTTAAACAGGATATGTAACTTTAAGATGATATGGAGATTATATAATATTGAATTATGCTTTGCTACTTGGTTTCTTAATATACAACCCACTTTGGACCAAACTTTCTAGTAAAGTTTTCTACATTTGGAAATTACTTCAAGTTATCGCTTTGACAACTAAAAGATGTTAACCGCTTAACACAAAGATTAATAGCCCCTTATCTTTCTTTCATAACCCTTTAGTAAATCCATAATGTAAGCATACTCTGCTCTGGTATTAACTACGATTAAAATAGTTCCAATCCCTTGTGTAATTTCCAGAATTTTTTTATTAATGTAATTTGCTTGGTGTTGCCCTCATCTTTCCTCAAAAAATAAAAGTTGAAGTAAAAAAAAAAATTACAATTAAAATTAAAAAGTTCCAAAAGGACCAATCTGTTTTAACAAAGCCTTACTTTTTCCTCTATATTGGAAATATCAGACATAGCTGCTATCCAGGCTTCGCTTCCACAGTACACCATATTTTGTGGCAATTTGATAGTAAGATTGACAGTTCTTTCCTCTATGTATTGAGGCCAAAATTATTATCGAGTAATCTCTATTTTAAATGTGTAAGATGATTTCTCAAATATCTAACACAAAGTGTCGCATATTGAGAAAAATATGGCAACAAGTTTGTAATTCCTACAGAAAAAATTCAAATTTAATTATTTTGTTATCACTACGCTAAATCTTGAATATATTTCTTGAACATCTTTAAAAAACTGTTTCTTTCGTATATAATCTAACAAAAATAATATTTACTTTCAAATATTTCCATAACACATAAGGAAATTTTTTATCTTTTCTATAACTTCTTAAATAAGCTTTTCTTTTCGGAAAACAAAATATATACATTAAAATTCGATGCGACTGTCTCATTGAAAATTAACTAATAAAATGTGTTGATTTCATCAAACTGAATATGACATTTACTACTCATTTTATAAAGTCATCACCGACAAATCAAATTAATATGACATTTGGTTGAGTAAGATTTTTATTTCTACAGTGACTAATCTGACTCTCAAAGAAATATGTCATTGTTTGAGTTCAGCTTAAGTAGATGGTTGAGATATCCACTAGCCAGATATCTCAAATGTTATCCTTTTTTTAACCGGCAATCTTTTGTGCAAAATTTTGTCCTTTAAGTATGCAAAGTTGATAATTAATTTAGAACACATCATAGGAAACTTCTATTTGCTCATTATGAAATGCTTGATTTTGATATTTAGAATACTATTCAATTCATTCTAATTGAATGTTCATAGCATGATTAAAGTATTAAGATGTAAATTCCTTGCATTTGAGCTATGTCTTTTGGCATAATTGAAAGCTTGTCAGTTGGTCAGCTTTTAACTGTAATTATGGACAATGGCTTTAACTTTCTAGAATTTAGGAGCATTTTAATTGACCACTTATTAGTAATAATTCTATTAAAACAAGAATTTTATACGAGGTTTAATGATAGAAATTTTTTCCTATTTTTCACTAAACATTTTCCTAATTTTCCCCTTGATGTTTTAAAAATTACATGATTTGCATGCAATAAACTTCCATCAAATCTTACACACACCTTGCATCTCATTTTGGGCTCTTCTTTGTTTTTCTTTCCATCTATTGTTTCAGATGTAGGCATCCAGGTCAAGTTTCCTTCTGTCTAAATCATTGTTGCTCAAATGCTCTGGCAATTTTGAATTCACTACTCCTGTTGGCTCTAATCTTTTAACTGTTTCCATTGCCTTACTTGTCTGTTGCAAGAAAATTAGTCAAAAAGTAAAGCGATAAACATAAAATCAAATTGCATCAGATGTGTGTGCACGGTCGCATTCTCAGTTGCCCATATGCTATAAGCATGAATTTTTCCTAAACAAAATAAATGGCATGACCTCTATAATAATGGTTGATTCCTTGACTGGCACAAATAAGTAGAAAGATAAATTTTTGAACATATTATGATTCAAAGATATACTTTTGGGAATATTGTCACCATTTTTATTGTTCGGAAGAGATAATTTCAATAACAATGGTCACGTCTACCCTTCAACCAAAGAAATTCATCAAGAATATTGTTGACGAAAGCCCAATTGCACGCTCATTTATGAGGGAATATAAAAGATTGTAGAAAGTAAGTAATGAAGAAACAAGATGATCAAAATGAAAGTCCAGAATGAACAAACAATACCGTTATAATAAGATGCCTAGACAGTAGTATTCATAGTGACAGCTGAGGTGGATCAAAGGTTCGGCTTCAGCTACAAGTGGAAGCGGACTGAGAGATCCGGGGATTTGCGGCTAGAACAGAGAGGATTCGGGACAGAAGAAGTTGAGATGTGGTATCGGGAGGTTGTAAGCCAGATCGAAAATCTGATCAAAGCAGATGGCTGTGACTGGATCGTGGAAGCTTGCGTGAGGCTTCAGGAAGTACTGGAAGAGGTCGGGAGTGTGATGCGGAGGTCTTTGGCTAGGTCTAGGGCAGGTCTAGGGCAGGAGGTGTGAGGTAAGTCGGCAGAGTGAGCAGGAAAAGAAGAGGCTACGGGGATTCGGCTCTGGGTCGGGGGTAAGATCGCGGCTACAGGCGGAGAGGAAGAAGGGTGTCGGATGGCTATTGTGGCCGTGATTGAGGTACAGAAGGAAGGTCTGCGGCTTGTTTGCGAAGTAGGAGTGAGGGCTGGAGGATTGGAAGCATCGGCTGAGGGAAGTCCGATGCTTGGTAGTATGCGATCGTTGTAGTCGAAGGCAGATTGATCAGGTGTTAGAGTGTTCAACTGGTTGAAGAGGACGGCTGAGGGATTTCGTGCGTGGAATCGAACTTACGTAGGCTGATGTCAGGTAGAGGAGGTGTGCGATTTCAACTACAGGGATTCGAATGGGAGGTTGCTGCTTACGTCTGGTCTGGGGAAGAAGCAGGATCGGAGGGTTGAGGGGGGATTTTGGGACTTTGAGCGTGGAGAGCGACGAAGAAACGAACAGATCAGCTTCGTTCTCATTTTAACGGAGTGAGCGAAGGTCGTTCATGGCGAGATCTGCAGGATATACGGGATTTGATAGCTTCGTCTGCAGGATATCCAGGATTTGAGCAGAACCTCGACGGATACGAGGTACGGAGGGATTCTTCTGATTTTTTTTTTTCTACAGAGATTTTTTTTTTTGGGGACATTTAGGCCATTTAAGGCAAACTCACACACACAACGCATACACAAAGACTCGAACCTTGGACCTCTTAATTGGAAGCCTAAGCTCTCAACCAATAGGCCAAGGAGAGTTGTGTACTACAGAGATCAACAGTTTTGTGATTGTGGAGTTTTCCATATTTAGTAGTTTAATATAGAAGAGGAATGAGTTTTGCTACTTGTTTCTTTATCTTCTTTGTTCTAGGAAATTTGATGATAGAAACTTTCTTCTTTTTTTTCAGCATTCTCTGTGAGAAAATTTGTTCTAGTTTTGGAGAGATCTTCTCCAACTTTCTTATTAGTTTTACGAGAAGTGGGATTAATTTGTAATTACTTTGCTCAATTTTGTACTTGTCCATAGCTTTTGACAGTGGAAGTATATGTGCCTCCCTTTGCATGGATGTAGGTCTTTCTTGATTGAACTATGTAAATCTGGTGTTATTTTGCGACTGTTTCATTGATTTTTTATATTATACACCCATTTTATTTAATTTTTTCAAACTTAGGCTTCGTTTGGGACGGCTTTTTCATTGCTTTTTAAAACGGTGTTTTAGTACAAAAATAAAAAAATTTGTATTAAAACTCCGTTTTAAAAAGCAATAAAAAAGCCGTCCCAAACGAAGCCTTAATTTGTTGGATCTCTTCATAATGACAAAAAGTGATCATTTTTGCTCCTTTTGCTGCCTTATTGCTATACTGTATGAAATATAATCATCATATGCTCACAAAAATTTATGTTTGCTTCATTTTCATGTGTTCATGAAGTCCTAGAGATGTTCCACACTCAAAATAAGTTGAAGCACATTTTTTTCATCTAAATTAAAATTACAATTTGACTAGTTGAGCATGAGAAAAGATATGTAAAATAAAGCCTAAGATAAAGAAACGTGAAAACTAGAATAATGCTCCAAAGAGCAATTAATTGAAAAATAACTTAATTAATGTTTGCATATTAAAATCACTTACCTCTGTCTCCCAGTTATTGCATATGCATAATATGGATAGAAATAAAACTTGTGCGGTGAGAGAACAAATTATTCCTATCCAAAGTCCCTATAATATCATTCAGAACATATAAACAATTAAACATTAGTTGCAATAAGAAAAAGGGAAATTGAAGATAAAGAAAAATGATAAAGGCTAATCTTAATTGCTGCTCACCTTCCCTCCCATGTCAAGTCTGAAGGCCAATAATGTGGCCATGGGCAGACCAACAACATAATATGATCCAAGATTAATAATGACACATTTCTTCTGCCAGCCACATCCTCGAACTATGCCTTCATGAATCATGATTCATAAATTCTGTTACTTCACATTGAACAATTAATTGATAAAAGTAAAAGAACTGCAATGGAGAGCTTTCTTCCTTGACTCTCCTAATTTTGACTATTTCTTCTACTGCTATATATAGTATTCCAATTCAAAATTATCTCCATGATCAACACATGAAATTACAGGTCGACTAAGTTTTCGTTTGGGACGACTTTTTTATTGTCTTTTAAAAGCTCCATTTTAATAAGCAAAAGAAAAAAAATCATCCCAAACAAAACCTAAATCTCATAGATTTATGTATTAATTTTCCGTTTATTATGATGATCATAAAACAATGAAAGATCACAAAACATATATAAGTTCTCTTATAAGTTCAGTTTTATAATGCCCTCCAAAACCAAGATTATCAAATGCACTAGCTCTAAATAACATCAAAAACACAAATATTTAATTTTTTGAAAACTGCAATCCACTCAGTTTAATGATGTTGAAAATAATGAACAATTTGACCAAAAATTCATGATTGTGACTTTTAAAACCATGATGGGAGAATGACGACTCTCCTCACGGAGGAGAAAGGATTCTATATATATATATATATATATATATATAACGGTAATTACATGTATTTATTTAGCATACCATTAAGAACACACTGATATGCATCTATGAAGTGAACTGTTGCGATAAATGGCATCAAAGAAGCCACATGGTCGATGACCTCCTTTTCTTTGCTGAAAGCGTGACCCAAAATATTTCTCAACAAAGTTGTTGTCGTTGCTACAAGCAAACCTTCAGCAGTTGCAATGAAAAGTGTAATGAAAATAGCTAATTTTGCAGCGCCAGGATTCACAGCTCCTAATTCGTTTGATACGCGAGTACTACATAAAATAAATTAAGTAATAACAAAAAGAACCAGTGAAAAGGATATTATAAAATAACAAATCAATCATTGTGCCATTAAATACTTCATCGCTACCTTATTGCTGCTCCAAGGCCAAATGTGATCATATACAACATGGAGCAAATGTTGAGACTGACAATTGCACAAGGTAAACCATTTGTGTTAATAAATCATAAATACCAGAATTAAGTACATGCGAGCATTAGTAACAAGATAGAATATTGTACTCACCATATTGACATTGCTGATGTTTCTACCTTTGGATTTGCGAGGAGACCAGAAAGAATCACGACGGCCTCAAATGACCAATACTCCAAACTGTTTAAAGACATTAAAACGGTCAAAATACACATTCAAATAATTAACTCCTAAGGGCCGTTTGATATCACTTTCTATTTTTATTATTTATTTATATTTTGTATAATATTCAGTTCTATATATATAATTACAACATGAAATAAATAAAAATTTTGGTATCCTATAGAAATAATATGCTTTTCTTTGTTGAATTTTGCATAAGATGGTTATGCATACGAAGATTTGTAGGAGCGATCGCCGATGCCGGAGGATGATTTTATTTAAATAAAATAAAAAAAATAATAAAAATAGTTTGCTTTAAGTAATTTCAAAAATAACTTCATTAGTTTTCAAAAGTATCAAATAAAAACTAAAAAATACGAATCAAACATTTTTTTCATGAATAAGAACAAAAAAAAAAAAAACTTTTCCTAAATGTCCCATACTATTTTTTAAGCTATTGAACACTAACATTATTTTGTTCCTTGGCGAGAACATTTTACCATACTGATTGACATGATGCTTTTATTTTACGAGATTTGTTAATGTTAATTTCCATTACGGCAATAGCACTTAGAAGCCTGAGACCATACAATCTTTCCTCCAAGTGATGCCATGAACTGAAATGCTATTCAGAAGATTTTAAAGTAACATACCAAATCATAACAGCTGATGGAATAGCAAGCTTTACGAAGCTAGTGGTGCCTTTAAGAGCATCCTTTGAAAACCCAGTCCATGTACTTTTGCATGCCGGAGAAAACTTGATGAATAATGCCAACAAAACTACAGCGAACCAATAAGAGATCGAAATAGATAAAGCTGCACCTACATAGCCAAGACTTGTTTTATAGACTAAAGTCCAGCTTGTCAAGGCATGGAGCAAAACACTAACTCCTGAGCTCAGCATCAATGGTATGACAATGTTCTGTGCTTGTAAAAATCTGATCTGGCACTGAGCCAATCCATATGCAAATAGAGAGGGAACCATCCATCGAGCATATAGCCCGGCTTTCTTCGATATTTCTGGATCTTGATGAAAAAAAATCAGAATTTTTTCTGTGAAGAACCACAAGAAACCAACGGGAATGCACGAAATTGTGAGAACAAGCATGGCTTTCTGCAAATGAACGCCAAGCATATTGTGTTGTTTTGCTCCAAAAGCCTGGCCGCATAAGGCTTCCAATGTGCATCCCATTCCAATCTATTAAAAGAGAAAGATGATCAGTTATGATTATTGCTTGGAAAGTTGGATAAAACAAAAATTAAAGTTGGGAGCAATTTTTTTTTCAACCCAACTCTTAAATCTACATGTGGAGAAATTATTGCGTGCAAATTATGTATATATGTTATTCGAAAATTTTGTTACGTACGAGCATGCTGAAGCCAGTGACCGCAGCGAAGGAGATGGCCATGGCGGCGCCGGAGAGAGCAAGCTCCCCAAGGCGGCCGACGGCCATTACGGAAATGACTTGGAGAAGAAACATAAGGAAGTTGGCGGTGATCAGTGGCCCGGCAAGCCGCATTTGCTTCTTCACTTCCTCTATGATAACATCTGTTTCCTCCATTTTCATTTCTCTTTAAGAAAAACGGTGTGTTCACTTCCTCGCAGAAAGCAAGCTCCCCGAGGTAAGAACACAGGAATTCTCGACAGAATCAGTGGATTTTTGGGTTTTGATTTCATCGCGGCAGAGCTTATAAAGGGGACAGAGAAAGGATAATTTTTTTTAGAATTATATGTTGATTTATTAGTCAAATTTTATAGAAAGCCGCATCTGGCATACAGATTTTAGTTTATCTAATGGTTACCTTATTTTTATTTTATTTTTGGGTTTGTTTAAAAACTTCAAATTTATTCCCAACGACCAATTCCTAATTTTGATTGGATTCATCAAAACTTTGTCCTAAACCATCAAATATCTGCTATTTGTCGTAGTTGTCCGTAATTTATTTTTTTGTCTCTTTCACTAAATTCTTATTAATTTTTTTGATATTCAAGATTAAAAATTATTATGTATTAAAAAAAAACTATTATGTAACTATTTAAGATATAGGTATTTTCTTAATCTTTTCCTCACTAGCATATCATGACGACTCAGAGCGAGAGGTGGAGCGAAAATTTTTTGATGTAAAAGAATAACTTTTTTTTTTTTTTTTTTTAAAACTCACAGTAGGGGTCTACCTGTTGATATTAAAAATAAGGTTACAAGAATCCTTAGAAGGGTCCTCCAGCTTACTAATGCCCAGATGAGCTACAAAAAGAATCAAAATAAAACCTAGAAGCCGGAGATCCCTTTTTCTACTAATACAAGATAAATAAAAGTAAAAACTAGGGTTGCAAGCGGACATCACTCAAAAAAGGAAGATCATATGGATATCTTTCAGCACAGACTTCCTGCAAAAATAGTAACCCAAAATCCAAAGATCCTGATGATAATACGCGAGGAACTTGCTAGCAATGAGGATCCAAAAATCCGACTTAATCAGCCTGCAAACAGAACTCCATGACACTAAGTTAATAAAACAATAATAAAAGTAAAATTTAATCCAGCCATTAAGAAGACCGTTGAAACGAAATGCATAGGCAGCCCGAAATACCATCCTCCACTTCTGTGAATGGTTCTAATCCTCATCATATGTAACCTGAAAAGGATCCTCCATGCTCACATACATAAAAATAACATAAAACCTCATAAATGCCCTCTGATACTCAAACCATAACTGATCGAATAGATAGTAAACCCAACATAAACAAGCTTATAAACATAATAGTTAAAGTAAAAAATCAAATCCGACAGAACCCCCCACAACATAAGCAGTTGGAGGGGAAACCTGCACCAAGACAACATCACCATAAACCCGAAAAACAACATAAATTCCCCCTGAACACCAAAGAAAAATACAAAGTCACTACAGAAAAACACCAACAGCCCCTAGATGCAGGACAAAGGAAACCCCCCCCCCCCGCCTCCTAAACAGAAACACAAATATCAAACCAAACATAAAATTGATAATCAAGCCTGACGGATATAAGGGAGCCCCAGTTTGTCCAAACAAATCATGCCAGTAAGAGAAGTAGGCAAATTGTTCAGAGGATGTTCCTGAAAAATACTACTTTGAGCACCAAAATTAGCCAGCCAATCAGCAAGGCATTACCTTCACGATAAATATGGGAAATAGTAAAACTCATACTAACAAGAGCCATTTTGATTTTTTTAATAGTGTAAAAATCCTGAAGACAACCAACAGAATTACCAGAAATCACATGGATGAGTAGTTTAGAGTCCACCTCAATGTTAACATTATGAAAACCAAATTTCATACACAGATCTAAACCACTATCCAAAGCCATCAGCTCAGCCGATAAAACAGAGCAATGTAACAGGGGACCAGAAAAAACCACAACAGGCTTGCCAGTATGATCTCTAGTAATACCTCCCATACCAGCATTAGTAGCACGGACAGAGCCATCCGTGTTAAATTTAACACACGGAGCAGTAGGTTTGAGCCACCTCACAATACGATCTAGCTTTCTCACATTGCTAGAATTATTAAACATACCAAAATGATTAGCAAGCAGAGGACAGTTAATAATATGTTTTTTCGAAAGAAAATTAACAGAAATTAACTGCAAAATTTTATCCCTCACATTAGAAATAATCTGGTTAGCAAACATTTTGATCTTGTTATGCTTGGAATCATTCCTACCTTTCTAGAGCTACTAATTAATCACAATAGGCAGTAAATTTTGGATATGACATTTGCTTTTAAAACACCACAACTTAAGAATACCAACCAAATCAAGGTTAACATCGAAAGTATCAAAACCAGCCAAATTAAAAAAATGTTGCCAAACTCTTCTAGCAATAGTACCATTAACAAACACATGTTGAATGCTCTCAGTATTAAAGCAGCATTGACATTTAGAAGGAAAACTAAACATTTTTTTCCACAACAGGTTATCAACTAGAAAAAAGCCTTTAATGCACCTCCAAGTTAAGATAGAATATGAGATGGGGATGTTGTTATGCCAAAGAGAATTAAATAAAGTAAAGTTGTCAATTTTGAATCTAAAATCCTCCCACACGTTTTTGATATTGAACTTACCAGAAGAAGAGAGCTTAAATAAAATTTTTTTCGTTTGCTGTAATTGTAAGGGAATTTGCAAAAAAAATTCAATAATATCATTGGGGACAACCTCCTAAAGTTTGTAAATATCCCAATTCCCATTCTGAATAAAATCCTTCACTTTATTATTGACAATGGTATGGGTATTAAGACAATTGTCAATAGATATAGATCCCAACCAATTGTCTTGCCAAAAGGAGACCTCTCCATTACCAAATCCCCATTGGATGTTCTGCTCTGCTTCGCATTTAATATTGCAAAGATGTTTCCAAACCAAAGAATCATAAGCTTTGAAATGGCACGACAAGGGATTAAGATTCTTACAATATTTCGCAAACATAAATTGGGCCCATAAACTATTTTGAGATCTAAAGGAAAACCAAAGTTTATGAGAGAAAGCATGGGCAGTATCCATAATAGACTTGCAACCAAGAGAGCCTTCATTATAATTACCACAATTTTTTTTTCCAGGACGACCAATTGATACACTGCTTATTGTTGGTAGCCCCCCAAAAAAACTGATTTATCATTTTCTCCAAACACATACAAACCGACGAAGGAGGTTTCATCGTATGAAAAATAAATATTGGATTAGAGTTAAAACACTTTTGATCAAAATCAAACGACCACCAAAGGAGAGAAAGTTTGAAGACCAATTAAGTACTTTTTTTTAAATATAGTAAAGATATTTGCAAACAAGAAAAGCTTTTTCCTACCATTAAAAAGGGGCGTCCCAAGATATTTAATAGGCAGTAAAGTCTGATTGAAACCACAAACTCTTTTGATCATACTAACTCTAATGCTATTCACATTAATACCGGTAATAAAGTTGGTCTTCTCCCTACTAATAGAGAGACCACTTATACTCTGGAAAGAGGAAAGAAATTTAGCCATAATGTTAACATTTTTAATCGATGCATTCGAAAAAATAATAAAGTCATCAGGAAAGCTAAGATGTGTAACCAGAAAACCACCAACAGTTTGAAAGGTAAGCATAGGGTAACTTATATAAAGATTCTTAATACCTCTGGACAAATATGCTATAGCAATAATAAAAAGAGACAGAGATAAAGGGTCCCCTTGCCTAAGACCATGCTTGGAAGGAAAGAAGCCATGATGATTACCATTAATGATAATAGAAAAAAAAATAGTTTTCTATACTATTCTTGATAAGCCTAATAAAATTTTGATTAAAACCAAAAAGATGTAAAATATTGTAGAGAAAGTCCCACTTCAAGTTGTCATAGGCCTTAGTAATGTCAAGTTTAAAAATAATGTTGCCTCCAACGCCTTTAACATTAATATCATGAACCATCTCTTGGGCCAATAAAATGTAATAAAAAATTCTTCTGCCTTTCACAAAACCAGTTTGGTTGATAAAAATAATTCTAGGTAAAATGATAGAGTGCATAAAAGCAATGATTTTAGCCACCAATTTGTTGAAAAAAGTACAGAGACTAATAGATCTAAAATCATTCCAATAAGTAGTATTATCTTTTTTAGGGATTAGCACAATATTAGTGGAGGAAAAAAACTTAGGATAGGTAGTACCCTTAAAAAAATCATGCACAACATCAACCACATCCTTTTTAATAACTTCCCAAGTATGAACAAAAAATTTGTTAGTAAACCCATTAGGTCCAACCACCGAAACCCCATTTATATCTTTAATGATGCTCCAAATTTCATTCTCCATAGGAGGTTGAGTGAGTAATAAATTATCATCCTCATTAACAAGCTTAGAAATCACATTAGCATTAACAATAGGACTAGTTAATTATGAAATATTAAAAATATATTTAAAAAACTCAACACCAGAAGAAGAAATTAATTCCTCTGTATCATAGACATTACCCTGATTATCAACCATTCTATGAATATGGCTTTTAATATGATTTTTGTTGACTAAAGCATGAAAAAAGTAGTGTTCCTACCCCCCTTCAGATTCATCTTGAAAACAGTTTTTTGTTTCTAGAAGATCTCTTCTTGATTTTCTAAATGAAAAAGATGAAGCTTAGCATTGTCAAGATTGGATAAATTATCACTAGAAGGATTCTCTATTAACAACTTATCCAAATCCATCACGTTCTTTTCTTCTATTTTAATGTTATCAAAAATATTTTTAAAAACATGCTTATTCCACCATCTTAGAAGCTATTTAAGCCTACTTAACTTAGCCCATAACCTAACCATGCCATCAATATTATTATCAGGGAAAACATTGGCATTCCAATTATTAGGCACAACATTAAGGAAATCAGAATGAGTAATCCACATATTTTGAAATCTAAAAGAAAAAGAGGCCTTTAAATTGCTTTGAGAAATATTCATATGGAGAGGCGAATGATCATATAAAGTTCTACTTAAATGCTGGACTTTAGTCATATTAAATTTGCTTAACCAGTCATTATTAAAGAGGATCCTATCAAGTCTTTGCCAC